AAAATGTACAAGGATCTGAAGAGGCATTTTTGGTGGAGTGATATGCGCAGAGAGATTGCAGATTATGTGACTAAGTGTTACACATGCCAACAAGTTAAGGCAGAACATCAGAGACCTGCAGGAACCCTACAGCCTTTACTCATTCCCGAGTGGAAGTGGGTAGATATTTTCATGGATTTCATAGTAGGGTTGCCTAAGTCAAAGAAAGAAAATGATTCTATTTGGGTTATAGTGGACAGATTGACTAAGTCCGCACATTTCTTACCAGTGAGGATGACTCATACAACAGATATGTATGCGAGGATTTTCATTCGGGAGATTGTTAGATTGCATGGAGTTCCGAAGATGATTGTATCAGACCGGGGCTCAGTCTTCACATCTTATTTTTAGAGGAGTTTTTAGGATGCTTTTGGCAGTCAGTTATTATTTAACAGTGTTTTCCACCCCCAGGCAGATGGACAGACCGAGAGGGTGAATCAGATTTTAGAGGACATGCTGAGAGCGTGCATTATAGATTTTCAGGGTAGCTGGGAGGATCACATCCCACTGATCAAATTTGCATACAATAACATTTATCAAGCTACCATCGGGATGGCACCGTATGAAGCTTTGTACGGGAGACCTTGCAGATCACCTATATGTTGGGCAGAGCTAGATGATAGTCTATTGATTGGTCCAGAGTTAGTTAGACAGACCACAGAGAAGGTGGCATTGATTCAAGAGCGCATTCTTACGGTGCAGAGTCGACAGAAGAGCTATGCAGATCAGCGGAGACGACCTTTAGAGTTCCAGGTCAGAAACTCAGTCATGTTGAAAGTATCACCGATGAAGGGCGTTCAGCGATTCGGTAGACGGAGGAAGCTTACCCCGAGATATGTGGGTCCTTTCAGGATCATCGAGCGTATTGGAACTGTTTCTTACAGATTAGATCTTCCAGCATCGATGTCGAGTATACACGATGTCTTTCATGTCTTGTTGCTTAAGAAGCATCTGCGAGATGATGAATAGCAGAGAGTGATTGACTCACCAGAGATTGAGATTCAGGATGATTTGACTACCGTAGAGGTACCAGTACGCATACTTGCTAGAGAGAATGAAAAGCTTAGAAATAAAATCATTCCATTAGTGAAGGTACAGTGGAACCGGCAAGGAGCCGAAGAGATTTCTTGGGAGCGCGAGGTGGATGTTCGTCGTGACTACCCACACCTGTTTGGACAGGTATGATGTTAATATGCTTATATGACTTGATAGTTGTCATTATCTATGATTGTTTAGTCATATTTATATTTATCTTTAACACTAGAATGAGGATATTTTTACCTGATCCTTAATCAATTGAAGTATATGGTATATACATGAGGGTTTCCTTGTTTGGATTATTTCGCTCGACGTACCAATTTCGTTTAGTTAAGGATTTATGTAAGAATGTTTGCATTCTAGGTTGTTAACTTTAAATATCGTTGTGCTAACACTATGTGATGTGTGCAGAAGGAATTCTTAATATAAATTACACCTTCTAAATGTGTTTTCCCAGTTATTAAGCTTTGAGATGCGACTGCGAAATTTCGAGGACGAAATCCTCTTAGGGGGGGGGGGGGGGAAGGAATTAATGTGTGATAAATTATGATATGTGGATATTTAGTGTGATAAATATCATTTAATGGTATATGAGTATAATACCATGTGATTTGAGTATGAACGAGTTCATACATGAGAGAGAAAAGAGTTGAAACATGCACAAATGGCCAAACATATGGAAACTGGAAATGTCCGGTCTGGTCAACCGTCACGGTCGACCGCAGCCCGGTCAACCGCCACGGTCGACCGTGATACTTGTAGTCTGTTTTTCTCCTGTTTTGAGTTGGTTTCGGATTTCTAAACCCATATCCGTTTTCCCCTGATATATATGAGTTTTTTAAGTTTTTCTCAGTTTTCCTAAGAACCCTAACAGCCACCAAAACCTCCAAACCCTAGTTTGATTTCTTGGAGAAGATTGGAGGCTTTCAAGTTGGGTTTTTGTTGATTTTTAGCTTTTGGAGTGGAGATATCCTTCGACGTTGCTTCTAACACATTTTCCTACAACCCCAGGCGAGTATCATCTCTGCTAATCCCCCTCTTAGTTTTCAAAATATTTTTAAAGAGTTTTAAACATGTTTTGTAGAGCCTAAATGACTAGTTTATGAATAAAGTCAACTTCTTTTGTATTATATGTAAAGAGACTAGGTCTTTCTATGCTAAAAAGGTTGAGAACGATTTTTACAGAAGTATTTAAGACCTGAAGATGATTTTAAAACATGGTTAATCTGAAGAAAGAAGTTTGATTAAGTTTGATTCGTTGTTTTAAGCTATTATGCATGTTTTTAGGGTTTTGAATACAAATCTAATGCATAAAATCATGTTTATAATTGTTGAGTTGTTTCCAGATGTTCATATCTGCTGTGACATGTTTGCATACATGTTGAAGATTTAATCATGTTTGAATCACAAAAACACGACGTGAATACGACATACACAAAAAAATTGAGAATCTGGAATCAAGGTTCACGGTCGACCGCCACGGTCGACCGCGTGCAGGACAGAGACCTGGATAGTCTCTAGAGCCCGTCGCGGTCGACCGCCACGGTCAACCGCCAGTCTGTTTTAACTGTGCATGTTTATAAGGGTTGGAATTGGTTTGTCAAGCAAATCTCTCGACCTTATGATGATAGACTATGATGTTAATGAATATTAAACACCTAGAATGATGGTGAACTTCACATGTGGTCACGCACACCAAGATTTGGTGCATATATGCTAGATTGTGTTAGATTGACACACTTTTGACATGAGTTAATTTGATAAACACATATGAATAATATTGTTCTATACGTATCCGGAAATAGGAAGATGAAACCTATTTGCCGCAAAATGATTAAGTAAGAGTATTACAAAAATATCGTTATTACATGTATCCGGAATAGGGAGATAATAAAATCTATTGCCGCAGAGCGATTGAGTAAGAGCATTACAAGAGTATCGCTATAGCACATGATGATGCACACATAGATAATTGATCAGTTGTAAGCTTTACTTTCATGATAGATTGGCCGCGAGTAGGGTATTTCCTTTGAGATTTTGATACACCCGTTATAAAACGGTAGATATTTTTATTTTAGCAATTGTTGATATCCTCTTATGTTAGAGTAGATCACTCGGACGTAGTTCGAGATGAGATGATTATTCTTTATGTTGGAGATTGGGGTTTTTATCATTTGTTATTTGTTTTTCATTCATAGAGAGTTATATGAATGATTTGATATATGTATGTACTGACTCTATTTTCTATATACTCCTACCCCTTCCCCTGGGGAGAGGCAGTGATGATCTCGGTAGCGCTTTGACGTTCGTTATTTCCCCTCTTTCAGGCAGCAAGTCCGGCGCACGGAGAGTCGCAGGTTGTTGAGACATCTTAGTTGTCCGTTTAGCTATTTATTATATTTTGTAGTTATTGCAGAACTCCACATGTAGTTGATTATTTTCAGACTCTAGATTGGTATTTTATTTCATAGAGTTGAGAGCTATTGTGAGACTTGGTTTATTTGACTCATTGTATTTGAGATTCAGTTCAGACTCAGTGAAATATCTACTTCATTCCAGTTGGGCTCATTATTAATATTTCTTATGCTTCTTCTGTGTATATTTTCAGTGTTGTTCGTTTTTGATTATTTACCTGACTATACCTTCATCTATTTATTATTTCCACTAGAGAGATAGTGATTGTAATGGTAAAACATGTCGTAGCATGGAGTTGGTGCTTGGCAGGTTTGACAATCCGGATTTCACCTTGGACTGCAGCCTTGTGTGAACCCTGGGGCGTCACACGCGTGTGTGTAGAGCAACAGCGCAAACAATACTAGGCCCAAAACACTAACTCAAGGCCCATTGAGATGTAAACCATTATAAACTTCTTGAACTTCTTCTCATTTTCCGATGTGGGACTATTCACAAAGGCAAAATTACCTTTTTATGAAACCAAATGTTCAACAGTTGTGAGATCTACTCATTACCTAAAATGAAAAATCCATAGATAGAAATTCCTAAGTCGTTATTTAGGTGGTCATAGGATCTGTCGAGATGAGCGTTGTCATGACCTTTAATCAACGACATGCATCTTATGCTCAATTCTGTACAAACAGCTAACATTTTCGCACATATACAGAGGAATCAATAGAGCGTCTAGTTTTGCAGCAAATCTTGCTAGTTAAAGCGATAATAAGACCTTTTTCATTAGTAGATGAGATGACAAGAGAGGTCCTTAATGTTATGTTAGACGATATTCGAGGTATTGAGTTTCTCAGGTAGAGAAGCTATGTTCTTAATCATTAGAAAGGAGCTATTCGTGTACGCGACCATCTTTTCTTCTTTGATCTTGTTCGAAAAATTATTTTTAAATTACCTAAAATCTAGATAGGTGAACAGTATGTTTTACCCACCGACTAGATCCCAAAAAAATAAATAAAAATAACTATTTGAAATTTACGTACCAGGATAACATTGGGTTCCTGATCTTCTAGGATCTAATCCTCTACATGGACATGCAACGTTAGCATGTATACGTTTCTTCTTCGTGATTGCGTGTCTAGAATGGTAAGTCATCAAAGCGCGGAGAGAAGTGAGGCCGCGTTCCCCTTATTGCAGCCATTAGAGCGAAACCTGTGATCGTGGCTTCATTATAAGCGAACAGCTTGTTCGGCTAACCCGTGTTTAGTTGCGGCTCCTTCTTTATACCCTGGAGTTGGAGGAGATTAACGAGGAGGCCACTGGAGATTAACGAGGAGGCCACTGAGCAGCTCAGTTCGAGCCACGAGGGCAGGTCCTCGAATCAGCCAGCGGTTCCCGGCCCGAAATGGCATTCTCGTAATTTTGAAGCAACTCCGGGGTCAAAAATCGATCCTACCGTAAAAAGTTACGTCCTGAAACGAACTATTCATCACTAATAATAAAAACCTAATAAAGAGGCTTTCTCATCCTCCTCCCTCCCACCATCGGGCGTCGGCGGCCCATAAATATTCTAGAGAGAGAAGGACGAAAGCTTTCTGTTCTCCAATCGTTCTAGAGAGAGAAAATGTGGCGAGGTTGCGTTGCTCGAGGGCTTCGCCTCTCAGCGAGGAATCTATCTTCGATCGGGAGCGAGGGGATCGGTCCCCAATCCTCGCGCCGATGCTTCTCCTCAGATTCGGTATCTTTTTATAATCCTTCGATCTTTCTTTCTTTTTTTTTTATTTAGGGTTTGAAGGGGTAGATTCTTGTCTGTAGCTGAGGCTGTTCTGTGATCTACTCCCTCCTTGATCCATTTGGTTGAGCTTGTACTTTGTCGATTATTTTAGAAAATTTTGTTTATATTCAGATGAGATGTTATTTACAGCTTACCGATGTGATTTTTTTTTTGCTATTTATGTCATGTTTTTTTGCGGAATCTGTTCCTTTAAGATTTGCTGAAATTTGATAGAAACTTGTTGATATTTGGTCATTAAGTCCGTGTAGCCTATTTGAACACTCATTATAAGATTTCATTTTGAGTCAACTGGGTTCCTATATTTGTGTGAGCTGCTTTTCATTACAAAGACGTTCGTAATAGGATTAAAAAAACACAGTTTGGGGGATTGAATTTTGGGATGGCAGTTGGTCATGTAAATTTCATCAGTCGTGTAATTGAGAGTATCATGACTCATTTCTATAGGGGAAAAGAAGAAGAAGAAGAAGAGATTATCCAGACGATAAATAAGAATACTAGTTAGGTAATGCTTTCATCTTTGTATCATTACCCCAATTATGCCCAGTTAGTAGCATCTTACAATGTTTTAGAAAACGTTGGGCGGTTCTGAACGCTGTACGTGGTGCCCAAGCGCTAGATGGGCGCTTAAGCAACAGGCAGGCATTTTAGCACTTTATCTTTCAAGGCGGTGGTTTGTGCGTAACCCAAGGTAAGATTTACAATTCTAGTGGAAAAGAAAAAGGGCGAGGCAAATCCGAGGTAGAAAGAATTTTCCAGAGATTTACAATCGCATATTCACTGTTCTATCTGAAATGGATTTAGATTTTGAGGTTTGATCCAATCTGTTTTGACCTGACTTGTTCTCTTCACACGTTCCTAAGTTTAAGCAGGCAACATAACCCTTTTATTATGCCTTGTAGCCTGATTAAGCAGTTCATGCTCCGTTTGGTACTCCCTAGACTTAGGCAGCTTGAGTAATGTCTTATATCAGGACTACTATTTTAATTTTAAGAAACAATGGTATTTGTATCTTTCACATTTTTCTTCTTATTTGTTTTGTCTTTGTCCTACACTGGACATTTTTTTCTTTTCATTTTCTCCTTTCATTTTGTAAATATAGTTTAATGATGGGTCAAATTCAAATGGTCTTTCTTTATTCTAATGGTGCTAAACCGGAGCTGTTTGAAGCATTCGGTATAGGAATACTGAAGATTCTGACTTTTGAACATAGTTATTCTTGTTGTTTTTCGAACCTGGATATATCAAGGGATACTAATGCAATTTAATATTTTTGTATTAATTGATCATACACTTATATTTCATAAAATACCATTTTGTAAATTTTCTAAAACAAAGTTTATGATGTAGGTTGGAGGGCGGTCGTCATACACCATTGTGGATCATACGTATGATGCTGTTGTTGTAGGAGCAGGTGGTGCAGGGCTTAGAGCAGCCATTGGTCTCTCAGAACATGGGTTTAATACAGCTTGTATCACAAAGCTCTTCCCTACTCGCTCTCATACAGTTGCTGCTCAGGTATTCTGAAACTCATGATTTTTCTTTACAAATTGCAACGTAAGGTTTGCATTTTGAAGTTTCAGATGGAAGTCTTACTTGCTTTACAAGATACATGAGTTGTGTTGTCTGCTCTCCCTATTTGACTAGCTACATTATTTTGGGTTAGCTTGTTAGAGTAGATATAACCCTTCCATTTTCTTAGATCACTCTCAGCCAGGGACGCGGTGAGAGTACGATCAACTGCCCCATTCTCCTAGTTCTATTTTCCGTGTCTCATTTCAATCCTGAGATGCAATTCCTTCCCTTGTATTTTCTTTAGCATTTCATGATTCAAAGTGGCACCAATTATTTGTTGTTCAGCTTTGTGATGTAGTAACTCCAGATAAATAGCAGAGTTACATGCTTGTGACAATGAGCTCTCATCTCTCTTATGGCTTGTTTGATTTCGACAATACACGAAAATGCTTCTCCATAATGTTAAAATTTATCGGTTTCTTGGGTTTGTGAGCTGTTTTTAGCTCGGTCTCTTGCCAAACATGTTTCATAATGTGTTGTCTGGGGGCACTGATTAGCTATTGGCAAGTGCTCATTGCTGCTTATTGAGAGAAGAAAAGGTTGACGGGTCTGGGGGCACTGATTAGCTATTGGCAAGTGCTCATTGCTGCTTATTGAGAGAAGAAAAGGTTGACGGGTCTGGGGGCACTGATTAGCTATTGGCAAGTGCTCATTGCTGCTTATTGAGAGAAGAAAAGGTTGACGGGTCTGGGGGCACTGATTAGCTATTGGCAAGTGCTCATTGCTGCTTATTGAGAGAAGAAAAGGTTGACGGGTCTGGGGGCACTGATTAGCTATTGGCAAGTGCTCATTGCTGCTTATTGAGAGAAGAAAAGGTTGACGGGTCTGGGGGCACTGATTAGCTATTGGCAAGTGCTCATTGCTGCTTGACAGGTAGAAGAAGGAACAATAGTGGAGTTCTAGAACAACTTGATTGACTTTGGACTAAAAGCTATATAACTATAGACCCCTACTTTCGACATCCAAGAGCCAAATTATTGATAATCTTTCACTTTATGTTCTGTAAAGCACATGTATTCTACTTTGATATGTGGATACAGGGTGTTGGACATGACAATTGTTTAAAATCCAGACTTGAGGAGGACTAATATGTTTATTTAGCTTTACTATATGCATATTTGATTCCTATAAATATGTATACTGGATTGTAAATATAGGAATGAACCTAGGTTTAGTAAACTAATTTACAGAAGAATTAACTTTTGCAAAGGAGCAAAGTGCATAATTCAAATATTTCCCCATATTTTAGGATGAATACTTGTCGTTTGTGCATTTGTTTGTCCCTGGGCAGGATGGTCGGGAAAGTATTCGTACCTTTTAACTAGGCTTTATGAAATCATGAAAAAGGGTTGATGTACTTGATTACTAAAGTTTATTGTATTTAGGGGCCCAAAAGTGGTTGCGAATTTTGAATTACCCTGATATGGACATTTATATATGTAGCAATAAGATCTTCCTTAGCGTTCATGTTTATCAATAATATGACTCAGATACTTTGCTATTAACTTGGATATGGTCTTAAGTACTGCTAGTATATGTGATGCAGGGTGGCATAAATGCTGCTTTGGGAAATATGACCGAGGATGACTGGAGGTGGCATATGTATGACACGGTAAAAGGAAGTGATTGGCTAGGTAGGTAATGTAGATGTTCTTATAACTGTATTTACTTTTGGTTCTTTTTTCCCCCTAGAAACCGCCTCAAAAATAGAGTAGTTATATAGAACCACCTTTCATTTTCAATTTATATACGTAAACCACCGTTAAAGTGGATTTTGTTCCAATCAACCATCTCTCATTCAAACTTGTCATTGAAAACCTAAAAATACCCTTAAAACCTCACATTCAAAACACGTGACTCACTTTGTTAATTTTTAGATCGAGTTAGGATGCAAGTCACATATTTTAAACATGCTATTTTAAACTTATTTTCGGTTTTTTAGTGAACATTTGACTAGGAGGTGGTTGATTGGAACAAAAACCCACTTTAAAAGTGGTTTACATATAAATTGAAATTTTAGGGGGTTTCTGTGTAATGATCCCATGTTTTACGGTGGTTTCCAAGGGGAAACTCCTTAGTTTTTTTGTCTAATGCCAGGGCATAGTAAACTCCCAATGCCCCCCGTACACATGTTTATATTCATTATAACTGTATTTACAATTACCATGTGATGTTACAACATAGTAAGAATTGCCCTTCTCCCCTCCCCTACTGTGCTATGTCTTTTTAATAAGGATCAACTAGTTGTTTTCAAGCACTTTTAGTCGTTTTACTCACTCAAGGAAATTGTATTAACGGCACTATTTCTAGGCTTGTCCGAATTGACGAGCAAGAGTTATTATTGATGATTAGTCTATACTATTGGATTTCTTAGTTTTTTCTACTTTTTTTTCTCTTTTCCCGGAGTTGATGTACAGCTATCATTCAGGTGATCAAGATGCCATTCAGTATATGTGCAGAGAGGCACCAAAAGCAGTTATTGAACTTGAAAACTATGGCTTGCCTTTCTCTCGAACAGACGATGGTAAAATCTATCAGCGTGCATTTGGAGGTCAAAGTTTGAACTTTGGAAAAGGTATTAATGGTGGACTTCTTTTCTCATGAAAAACTCAAACATGACATGCCTGTTATTAAATGAGCTGTTTTTTGTATATAGGTGGCCAGGCATATCGATGTGCATGTGCTGCTGATCGAACTGGTCATGCATTGCTGCATACACTCTATGGTCAAGCTATGAAGCACAACACTCAGTTCTTCGTGGAATACTTTGCGCTAGATCTTATCATGGATAAAGATGGTAAACTATTTGTGTAATGGCATTTGCTTCCTTGTTTTTCATCTTCTAGCATGTGATTCTCTTCTTCTTTCAGCTATCTGAATAACAATGTTCATTATCATTGTAATGATTTAGCTGATGTATTGTTTCCTTCCTGACCTGCTATTTCATATGCAATTGATATTAGTTTTAGTTCTAATGGTTTCTCCAATTTCATATCTGAACCTTATGATGGATTGGGGTTTACCTACATCTATCCTTGGAATTTTTGTTGCAATGGCAACTTAGCGAGTGTTTGAGCCTCACGGCCTGTTCTTTCCTTTCCCGTGTGATATTTAAATCTCTCATTATCTGTAATTTTTCATGTTGCCATGTGTGCTAGGCCTAAGTTTGACATGGTTTTGAGTATCTGGTGTCTAGCTGCTCATGCAGCACCATATTGTCGATTTGCTATATGTCAAACCAGATGCACACAAGTGGTGCCTTTTTCTCTTTTGTTTAGCTACCTAAGGGTGCCACAACCCTTTTCTAGTTCAGAAAAGACAAGATTTACAAAAGGAACTGCAAATTATAGAAAATTATGGGTGCATAAAATTTATTATAAGTACTGCTAATCTTAATCAATCTCTGGATTCTAAAGATGAATCTCCAATACCAAATCAGTAATGGCACCGATTAAGCTTTTTTTTAACTCTCTCTCCTTGTATGCTGAAATCAATATCTTTGTATTTCAAAGAAATGCTGTCTCTCTAGTTTGCTATCTTGCCTAGTCACATCAGTAACATGGCTTCTGCCAATTATATTTAGGTGTATGCCAAGGGGTGATTGCACTTAATATGGAGGATGGAACCCTTCATCGTTTCCGTGCTGCCTCAACTATTTTGGCCACTGGGGTAAGTCTTATATGTCGCAGTGCATACTGTTGTTCATTGGTTATTACCCATTTTAACCTAAATGAAGTCTATATTCAGGGATATGGAAGAGCATACTTTTCTGCAACCTCAGCTCATACATGCACTGGTGATGGCAATGCGATGGTTGCACGAGCTGGACTGCCACTTCAGGTAATTTCATTTGAGACTATGTGGTGACTAGTGTTGCATTTGTTCTTAATGTTTTTATTTTTCGTGCAGGATCTTGAGTTTGTTCAGTTCCATCCCACTGGTATATATGGTGCTGGGTGCCTCATTACTGAAGGTTAGTACTTATAGTCATCAAGTTCCTGTTTTGAACGTCCGATGTGATATTTTGCTGGTACATCTACAGTTACTCTTCGTTTTCTACATAGCTTTTACATATTGTATCCTCCATCAAATCTTCAGGGTCCCTTCTAAGTTCTTCTAACCATTTCATTATGCAACTCAGGGTCTCGTGGGGAAGGTGGTATATTAAGAAATAGCGAAGGTGAACGGTTTATGGAACGATATGCTCCTACTGCCAAGGATCTTGCATCACGAGATGTTGTTTCAAGATCAATGACTATGGAAATAAGAGAAGGACGAGGTGTAGGTAAGAATTTTCTATTAATGCAACCTTCAGTAAATGCCTATAATTGTAATCTGATGATTCATCTGGAGAATATTGATGAGCTGGCTGATGGTGTCAGTAAAGTTCACTGAATTAAGCTTGTATACTTTCAATTAAAGCAAAATGAAGATATCTTTTAGTTCTTGGGACCTGTTGGCCCCATATATATGTAGATGTAACTGAATAACCTGCCTGTAATAAGGAAAGGGTTCCTGCAACGATTGGAACTGATTTTGATATATTCTGATTTTTCCAGGACCATTGAAGGATCACATTTATCTGCACCTGAATCATTTGCCACCTGAAGTTCTTAAGGAGAGACTTCCTGGCATATCTGAAACTGCTGCCATATTTGCTGGTGTCGATGTTACCAAGGAACCAATACCAGTTCTACCAACAGTGCACTATAATATGGGTGGTATTCCTACAAACTACCATGGGGAGGTAATATTCAAATGGCTTACTTGAATAAATGTTAACAATTCTGATAACTCTGCACATCTGGTTCTTACAAGTTATTGCAAATTTATTCTGTGCTTTCAGGTAGTAGACATAAAAGGTAATGATCCGGATGCAGTTATTCCTGGACTTATGGCTGCAGGAGAAGCGGCATGTGCATCAGTTCATGGTGCGAATCGGCTTGGTGCAAATTCTCTCCTTGACATTGTCGTCTTTGGGAGAGCTTGTGCAAACAGAGTTGCAGAGATCTGTAAGCCAGGCAAGTTATTTATCCTTCTAAGTAGTAGAACACTAAACATAATGAGCTTGTAAATATTGTATATTTGTCTTTTGTGAACATATAGGACAAAGCCAGAAGCCTCTTGAGAAAGATGCTGGTGAGAGGACCATTGCTTGGCTGGACAAGTTAAGAAATTGCAATGGTTCACTCCCAACGTCAAAGATTCGCCTTAACATGCAACGGGTGATGCAGAATAATGCTGCTGTTTTCCGGACTCAAGATACATTGGAGGAAGGTATATGGTCAAACTTGAATTTCTTTTTGTTTTTGATGAGACACTGTTACACTCCTGTTGCTTCTGTTTTGCCATCTTTCTTTGATTTATGAGTGAGATATATCATGTTTGTTGTTTGCGGTAGATGCAAGAACCATGCATTCTTTCCTTTCTTTTTTCTTTTCTTTTGCTGACTGCTTATATTGATATACTTATAGGATGTAATTTGATTGACAAAGCATGGGGGAGTTTTCATGACGTGAAGATCAGTGATCGGAGTTTGATATGGTATTTATCTTTTCCTAGTATCCTTGCATCTTTCAAATACTTTTGTGGTGAAATTTGGCTTCATGATTTTGTTACAGGAATTCTGACTTGATCGAGACTATAGAGCTGGAAAATCTTCTAATAAATGCTTGTATAACTATGCACTCTGCTGAAGCAAGAAAGGAGAGTAGAGGGGCCCATGCTCGTGAAGATTTTACAGTTAGATCACTTTTCTTGAAAATGCCTTTTCTTCTTCTTAAGTTACAATATCTTTGGTTTAACAAAGTCTTTTTCTTACAGACAAGGGATGATGAAAAGTGGATGAAGCACACATTAGGGTCAGTAATGTACTTTCTTCAATTTTAAAATTTTCATCTCCAGACATTGCAGTTCTTGAACGTGAAATTTCCAAGTTATGGAAAAAAGAATTATTATGTTGTCAATCATATCCTTTCTTTATATACTTAATAAAGTTTGATTGTTTTTAATGTATAGTTTTCCAATTCTTGCATTTTCTAAATTTAACCAGATGGAGAATTTTTAAAAAAGACCCCTTTTGAAACTTTATTAGCAAAATCAACCTATTTTTGATATAATTAGCAAAATCGACCTCTTTTGGATGGAGAATTTTTAAAAAAGACCCTTTTTGAAACTTTATTAGCAAAATCGATCCATTTTTTATATAATTAGCAAAATAAATCTCTTTTTGGCAAAAAGAGGTCGATTTTACAAAAATGAATCTTTAAAATACACAGGACTACTAGTCCCGTGTATGTAGTGGTACCTATTACATCTTAATGAAGTTTAATTAGTCTCGTGCATTTTCTAAAGTTTAATTAGCATGTGATTAGCCAACACTACTTACATGTGACTACTGGTCCTGTGTATTTTAAAAACTATATTTTGCAAAATCGACCAAAGAGGTTGATTTTGCTAACTGAGTCCACAAAAGGTCGCTTTTGCTAATAAAGTTTCAAAAACGGTCTTTAAAAAAAAATCTAACCTGACTGGTCATTTTGTTGAAAAGTTATGGTTACATCCCACTAACTTTTTACTAACATATATGTGTAAGGCACGCACACGGACACATAGACACACACTTATTTGGTTATGTGCATCATATGTAATTTTATTTCATATGTGCATGTGTATGTTTGTATAAGGTACAGTATTTTGCTTTGCCCTTTGCAAATGATCAAATGAGCCGTCGATCTGCATAGTTGGCTTGGGTTATAGTCACTGCTTCTATAAGCTTCTGTTAACTGAAAATGACCAATAATCTAGAGCAACATAGTTTTATGGAACCATTGGCTTGTTGACTGCACTTGAAACGTCCAATGAATGTTACAGATATAATATCACAAACCTTACTACGACCCAGTTTTATATTGGTTAGATAAATAGTTAGCTACATCTTTTTTTCGTTTTTCTTGATATTATTATTTCTAGTAGAGATTGATATTATCCCTGCTAGATAAACCTGGCCATCTTTCCTCGCCTTTGGGACCTCTTCACTTTCAGGAACACTTTTGGGAGGTTTTCTATGGTTTAATCTGCACATATTATATTTCTGCCATTGGCTTCAATAGACTTGAAAGCAGTAAACAGCTCTTCCACCTCTTGTTTCACGATTTTCCATTGGTGACTCAAACTCCAAATTTTTATAGATATTGTAAAGGTTTGATGTGGTACGAAATCTCGCAAAAATTTTGGTCTGTTGGAGTCACTTCACTTAAACTGGGAATCTCTATCTAACGAGAGCAACAAGCATTTCATAAACAAAATGCTCCCTGTCCTATTTATGTAAGATGGCATAAGTGACAGTCAATCAAGTTGTCGTTATTGATGAGATTGTATATTCTTGCAGCCAATTCTTAGATTGATGTTTTCATATTCCATCTATTTCCCCTTAGTCTTTCATTCAATTGTTGTAACAAAATTTTATTTTCCAATGTCATAGGTACTGGGAGAATGAGAAGGTCAGGCTAGCATACAGGCCTGTGCATATGAACACCTTGGATGATGAAATCGAAACATTCCCTCCCAAAGCTCGTGTTTATTGAGACATTTTCTACTTGGTTGGATCCAACATGGGAAGACTTGTTGATCGAAAGTTATTGCAGTTTAATAAGGAAGTAGGCATATGAAGAAATAATGTCACTTCAGATGTGGGAAGTTCCTAGACATGATCATGGTGATTTTTTTCTTCATAAGTGAAAAACTTCTTGCTTTTTTCTCGTCACTGTTTGCGAATGATGTACATTTGTAGTCATAAATTTTGTTGGCTGTTCTGTTACACTTTGCGACCACAAGCATGAGGAAAAGAAATGTTGGTGCATGTAGAGTGGCTTAATTGTATAAGAGAGTTCTCAATTTATCTAAACATTCATAGATATGCACCCGCTAACAATATTATTCTTTCTTTTCAGAAACAATTTTAAATAACTGAGGGTATTCTTTTTCATTTGAGATTTCCTATTATTTTCGTCACTTCCCACATTAATAGAATCTGGTAGTGATGGCTTCAAAAAGGTTGGTGATTGACATGAGCTTAAGCTGTACGATTTTCACAGCATGCTTGTGTTGAAGCTCTTTGTGTTTCAGTGAATCAAAATTCCTCATGCGGGGTATGAATAACCTTTTACCTGGATCACCTCTTTTCTCGGTTTTGCTTTTTTATTTTTTGTTTTTTTGTTTTCGCCCCCTCATTTTTCTTTACTAACTTCCCCAAAATTTGTGGAACAAGTTTTGTGACTGCTTTTGAGTGCGACGATTTTGGTTTTAGATCATAGGTGTTGTCTCAGAGATGCATGAATACATGATACCGATCCGCTCTTTTTTTTTTTGGATAATGATACCGGTCCACTTTTAAGTGCTATTATTTCTCTGGTGAAAAAAAATTCTGGTCACGTTTACGTCCTGTTCAATAGGACATGGCACTGTGTATTCTAGATTTTGTTTGTATTTTTCATGATCTTTTTTTGTCTCTATGCTTCAGGCATAAGGATTGTAGGGTTCGGTCAAAGACCTCCTTCTGGGGTTCGAGTGTTCAATCAAAGACCATTACGTAAAGAACAATTTTTTAAAACAACCCTATTTTATTTTTTTATTTTTAAAACCAACCGATTTTTTTTACCAAAATCGACCCGTTTTTTGTCACGTTAGCCTAATCACCGTCCTAAATAGTCGGGGTTGCCAACCCCGACTATTTAGGACATAAAATTTTAGGGTTTAAGGCTTCTAATTGGGGTTTAACGCACTCCTAAATAGTCGGGGTTTCCAACCCCGACTATTTAAGAAGATGATTAGGCTGACGTGGTAAAAAACGGGTCGGTTTTGATAAATAAAAAAAATCGGTCGATTTAAAAAAAAAATTAAATAGAGCTGTTTTAAAAAATTGTTCTTTCGTAAATTATGATGAGAGGCAGGCTTCTCACATTGGATGCTGTCTTTTAACCAAAATAAAATGGCTCGTCAATATACCTTTAGCTATTAATTTATACACGTTTTGACTATTTCTCCGTATACTTCTAAACTTTGCCGTTGATAGATCATATCAGGAGTGAGCATCGTTTGGATGTTTCAGTTATAGAGTTAATTAATTAATTAATCAATTAGTGTGCTCGCTTCCTTCTTCATGGAATGGCACATATTTCAAACAATAAAACTCTGCACATTTTGAATTCAATATTTTAAGAAACATCACTATACCATACACGTCTGGATGTTGATGAAGGACCCTAGAGGGGGGTGATTAGGATCAAGAGGCTCTAATATGCAATTAAAATTCAGTACAAACAAACCACAGTAACAGAAGTGCAATAATAAAGAAAGAGATAAAGTTAGGAATCGTTATCCTTGACGCGCGATGTGTTAACGAGGTTCGGCCCGCTGACCTACGTCCCCGCTCCCCACTCTCGAGGAGAAATCCACTAACACATCCGGTTTGGAAGCCGGAACTTCGTCTACACAGTGATCCCACAAGATCTCTCTCTCACTACACAGTTGATCTCACAGATCACACTCCTTCACAGTCGATCTACACAAGATCTCACTCACAGCAGCAGAAGATAAATGCAAGACACTCTCTTTACACAAGCCCCTATAGCAAAGAGAAGAGTACTGAAGCTGGGAAGTGAAACACACACAAGAACTCAGAAGAACAAATTTGATTTGAAAATTTTCTCAGGAAGAAACAGAGCTCTCTGGTTCTCTTTCAAAACGTTAGGGCTTGGGGAAGAAGAAGCAGGCTTGGGGGTTTTTATAAAAGAGTTTAAATAAGTAAAAACAAAAACCCAATCTTCCTATTTAGGAAGATAATCTACTTTGCAGGTTGTGACCTCAGACTGTGCCAATCACTAATAAGTGAAAGCACATGAGTCGAGGCGAAAAACGACCGTTTTAAAAAATCGCGGCTGACCAAATCGGTTGTCCGAAGAAATAATCGGTCGACCGAAAATACCGTCGGTCGACCGACCGAAAAATTCGGTCGACCGCTGACAGCTAAAGAAATTTGGAAAACCAAGCAGAGCCTCTTCGGTCGACCGGAACGGTCGACCGATTTGAAGATTGAAAATTCGGTCGACCGTATCGGTCGACCGACGACAATCTGGAAAGATACTAAGGAATGGCCATAGGATCGGTCGACCGGGCCGGTCGACCGATTTCTGATATTTTCCAGAAAACAGATTTTTGACCAACTTGAAATATTTGCAAAATATTCATTTGACCTCTGAAAATTCTGAAACTTTGTAAAATGTTTTTAATACTAAAAACAAACTGTTTGGAAAAAGAATTTTGCAGATAGGTACTCATACTTGTGAAAAATAGTGTTTTGTGAAAAAACGCTTAAAAGACACAAGTCTAAAAACGTGTGTGTGATTCCCAATAGCTTCAAGTAAACTCAGTAACTCTTTGCCTACATTCTAGCACTAGAGAGAAAAACAAAAGAAGGCTAATATCCTCATATTGAAAGCAATACTTGAGCTTTGATATAGCTTGAATCGGATGAAGCTTTTATATGCCTTTGTTGTTCTTGAAATAACGTTGCTTCATCTTTTTGGCCTCCTCCTCCTTTAGATGTCTTCGTTTTAGCGTATATTCCATCCATCCTCCGTTAATGGCACTAACGAGCTTGACAAATGATTTTACTACATTTACACTCAATAAGCCATTAGTACCGATAATGGTGGTTGTAAGAACATCATCAAAACATAAGGGCTAACAATCTCCCCCTTTTTGATGATGACAACCAACCATTATATAAGAGCAAAAATGAAATAGCTTATAGATAGGTGCTCCCCCTATCTATGAGCTCCCCCTAAATATATGCAACAAATGAGGAGATTTCTCTCCCCCTTTGTCACCATCAAAAATGGGGTAAAGAGAAATACTAAATGCAAAATACAACTAGTCAAGCAAGCAATGTAGAACTTTCACATAGTGCATAAGCCCAAACCATTTCTTATGCGACAAAAATCATCCTCTCCAAGAGGCTTAGTAAATATATCCGCTAGTTGAGATTTGGTGTCAACAAATACTAGGGATACATCTTGTCTCTCTACATGATCGCGTAAGAAATGATGGCGCACGTCAATATGCTTAGTTCTAGAATGCAAAACCGAATTTTTGGAAATATTTATGGCACTTGTGTTATCACAAAAGATTTTAATATTTTGAAAATTCAAATCATAGTCAACTAAACTTTGTTTCATCCATAAAACTTGAGCACAACATAAGCCGGCGGCAATGTATTCCGCTTCCGTAGTGGACAATGCAACACAATTTTGTTTCTTGGAAGCCCAAGAAACAAGGGAATTTCCTAAGAATTGGCATGTTCCACTAGTACTCTTGCGATCTACCTTACATCCGGCAAAGTCGGCATCACAAAAACCATATAAATCAAAAGTGGTGCTTTTTGGATAAAACAAACCAAGGTTAAAAGTTCCATTAACATACTTAATGATCCTTTTAACCGCAATTAAATGAGATGCTTTAGGAGAGGCTTGAAAACGTGCACAAGCACATACACTAAACATGATGTCGGGTCTACTAGCGGTGAGATAAAGAAGACTACCTATCATACCTCGGTATAGTTTTTGGTCCACATCTTCACCACTCTCATCCGCATCAAGCTTAACACTAGTACTCATGGGAGTAGGCGCATGCTTAGAATTCTCCAACTTGAATTTCTTCACCAATTCCTTCGCATACTTGCTTTGTGAAATGAAGATCCCATCCTTAGTTTGCTTGACTTGGAGCCCGAGAAAGAATGTAAGCTCTCCCATCATACTCATCTCAAAGTGATCCTGCATAACTTTAGAAAATTCCTTGCACAAGGATTCATTAGTAGCACCAAAAATAATGTCATCCACATATATTTGAACCAAAATGAAATCATTTTTCCTTTTTCTCACAAAAAGTGTGTTATCAATTGTTCCTTTTGAAAAACCATTTTCAATAAGAAAACTAGAGAGGCGAGCATACCAAGCCCTAGGAGCTTGTTTCAACCCATATAAAGCTTTTTGTACCCGGTAAACATGATTAGGAAAAGCATGATCTATAAAACCGGGGGGTTGCTCAACATACACTTCCTCTTCTATAAAACCATTTAAGAAAGCACTTTTGACATCCATTTGAAATAGTTTGAAATTTTTAAAACTAGCAAATGCCAAAAACATCCTAATAGATTCCAACCTTGCAACCGGTGCAAAGGTTTCATCATAGTCTATGCCCTCCTCTTGATTGTATCCTTGGGCAACCAAACGTGCTTTATTTCTAGTTACAATGCCATGTTCATCAAGTTTGTTTCTAAAAACCCATTTTGTACCAATAACACTAGCATTGTTAGGTCTAGGAACTAACTTCCAAACTTCATTTCTTTGAAAATTGTTTAATTCTTCATGCATAGCCAAAACCCAAAACTCATCATTTAAAGCATCATTAACCTTTTTAGGTTCTAGTTGAGATAGAAATGCAACATTACCACATTCACTCAAGGCTTTTGAGCGAGTTATAACTCCTTTTGAAGGGCTCCCAATGATTTGTTCCTTTGGATGATTTGATGTGAATTTCCAAGCTTTAGGTGGTTCAACTTGATCTTGAGCGTTTGTGCTATCCACATCCTTTTGAACTTCTATAGAGGGAGTGTCATTGATTTGCAACAAGTCCAATCCTCCCTCAATATCATCATCATCATCTTTCCTAGGCAACACAACTTGAGAGCCAACATTAGTCTCATCAAAAGTAACGTTTATAGACTCTTCAACAACGAGGCTTCGTTTATTGAAGACCCTATAAGCCTTACTTCGAGGTGCATAACCCAAGAAAATACCAACATCAATTTTGGAATCAAATTTATCATGGTGATCTTTTGTATTTAAAATAAAGCATTTGCAACCAAAGACACGAAAATAACCAATGA